GCCCCCAACTGCTCCCCTTGCTGGCCTGCTCACCCCAACTGCCCCCCCTGCTAGCCTATCGCCACCTAACCGCTCCCCTGCCAGCCTGATTGCCCCCAACTGCCCCCCAACACTGGCCTGGTCGCCCCCACCTCCCCTGTAGGCCTGGTCCCCTCCAACTGCCCTCCCTCCCCTGCAGGCCTCGTCACCCCTAACTGCCCTCCCTTGCTGGCCTGATCGCCCACAACTGCCCTCCTCTGCCAGCCATCTTGTGCGAGGGCATGATGGTCAATTTGCATATTACCTCTTTATTATATAGGATTGTTACTTATTTCTGGCTAAGTGATATAGTGGCCAGAGAGCATACAATATGATTTTTGCCATTTGAAACTTGTTGAGACTTGCTTCATGCTATGTGGTCAGTTTTGCTAAATATTGTATGTGTAGTTGAAAAGACTATGCATTATTCAGATATTAATTTCTCAGTAACTAGAGTTACTATTGAAGTCTTCTAGTTCCTCACTGATTATTTTGTCTGTTCTATGACTTAATGAAAATTGGATTAATATACTTTTGTGATTGTGGATATGTTATTGTCTTTTCAAATATTTCCCCTACCTTATCTCTTTTCATTCCTCCTTGGACTTCAATTACACATACATTGGACCTTCTCTTTGTATCCTTTACGTCTTTTAGCTTCTTGTCTGCATTTTCAATCTTTTTGACTGTATTATATCCTTGTTAGTTTTATAAAATCTGTTTTACAGGCTAGTAGCTTTTTATTTAGCTGTGCCTTAATACATTAAACCCATCCATTGAGTCCTTAATTGCACTTGCCAGTTCTAGAATTTCTATTTGGTTATTTTTCAACATATTATGCCAGTTTATATAATTTCTTGCTAAAAAATTCTATCTTGACTGTTATTATTTAAGCATTATACACATAGGGGTTTTTTAGTAGTCTGCTTCTGATAATTCCCTGATAACATGTCTTTTGGGGTCTGTTTCTATTGTCTGTTTCTTTTGAATTTTGTTTCCTTGTGTGTTCATTTACTTATTTATGCCCAGATATGCCCTCCTCTACAGGCCTGGTTGCCCCCAACTGCCCTCTCCTGCCGGCCTGGTCGCCCCCAACTGCCCTCTCCTGCCGGCCTGGTCGCCCCTAACTGCCCTCTCCTGCTGACCTGGCCGATATAAAAAATAATGATATTATTTTTTAAAATATATCGTTATTGATTTCAGGGAGGAAGGGAGAGGGGGAGAGAGAGAGAGAAATATCAACAATGAGAATCATTGATCAGCTGCCTCCTGCATGCCCCCTACTGGGGATTGAGCCTGGGATCCTTCAGTCTGCAAGCCGATGCTCTGTCCACTGAGCCAAACTGGCTAGGGTGCGCCCAGTTATTTTTGACTATGCTGGACAGATTTGCCCTCCATCTTCCAATTAAATCTTCGTTGTTGTTAATCCTCACCTGAGGATATTTTTTTCCCCATTGATTTTTAGAGAGAGTAGAAGAGAGGGAGGGAGTGAGAAACATCGATGTGAGAGACACATCGATTAGTTGCCTCCGCCAGGGATCGATCCTGCAACCCAGGCATGTGCTCTTGACCAGGAATGGAACCTGCGACCCTTCAGTGCTCAGGCCAATGCTCTAACCACTTAACAACACTGGCCACAGAGCCCCATTATTTCTATGAATTTTTTTGTTGACGTATTATCTTGTGAGCTCTTTGATGCTTAACAATTTTAAAAACAATATTTTATCCAGCATTTTAATTAATTTTCAGCAGGTGAGTTAGTTCTGGCTGTATTCTTAGAAACACTAGTCCTGGTTGATTTTTATTTGTTTTAAAAAACATTTTATCCCATATTCTTCACTACTTTCCTCTGCCCACAGTCTAGACTTAATTCCTTGAGGGCAGGGTCTATGTCTTTTTAAAATATACATATATTTTTATTGATTTCAGAGAAGAAGGGAGAAGCAGAGAGAGATAGAAGCATCAATGATTGGCTGCCTCCTGCACGCCCCCCGCCCATTGGGGATTGATTGAAAATGCGGCTGCTCAGGCAATAACAAAAGAGTGCGTATGTGCCAGCAAAGCTGTGGACGCCAATTACACGACATGCTATTCCATACATCA